CACAGTCTGCTGGTGTCCACTCACATCTCCAGCCTCTTTAACGACACACTGCAGTCCAGAGTCTCCTGGTGTCCACTCACATCACATCTCCAGCCACTTTAACGACACACTGCAGTCCAGAGTCTCCTGGTGTCCACTCATATCACATTTCCAACCTCTCTAACGACACACTGCGGTCCAGAGAGCCCCGTGTCCATTAACATCACCAACCTCTTTAATGACACACTGCAGTCCAGCATCCCTGGGTGTAGTGTGGACAGGATATGTTTCTGTATCTTCCTCTTCGACTTTCTTAGATATCGGCCTCTCAGCTGTATTATGTTTCCATTCTCCATTAAGGACCTTCTCAGCAACAGCAACTGGAAACACAGTGGAGCCGAAATGAGTGCAGTTCGGGATTTCTCCACCAATGGATGTGGATCCGTGTGGATTTCGACACTCATGGATGTGGACACTGGGAATGACTCTTGATACTAAGGTCTACCTTTCACTAGCTCATACACACAACATTTTTTGCAGTACTGGCTGCTCCATCAAAAAGAATGATTACATTTAATTTGATAAAATTATATCAATGATCAACAGAATGATCTCTGTGCTATTTTATCTTCCTCAGTTCCAGTATTCAACGGCCAGAGTTCTGCAGGTTTCCCAAGGCTTTTTAATGGTTCACTTACTTTAGACCTGAAAACAGTCAGGTTCACACAATAATGTAAATAATTTTGGTCTGCCTGTTACTATAGAGCTCAGGTGAACCAACTAACAAAAGAGGCTGTGGCTCTTCAGGAAAAGAGTTAAGGAGAATTAATACATAGGAACAGATCCATTTTTATTAGGATGTTCCAGACTCCAGATGCCATGGACTTGTTGAGTGTCATCCAGAATAAATTACAAAACCTCCTTGTCCTCTGTCCTTCAGGTGAGAAGTAGTCAATAGTCACCGTAGTCAATGATGCACAAGTCGCCTCTAATCTCACTATTTCCCTATGGGAGGAAGAGCCTAAAACTAGGATCCCGATTGTTACTCTTCAAGTTCAAGTTCACGTTTATTTGTCATTCCAGCCATATACAAGTATACAGTGGAACGAAATATCATTCCTCCTGGTCCACAGTGCAAATAGAGACAGGACAAACAGGACGCTGACATAGACATAGTAGACAGGATACACATAGTGCAAAGTGCAGACTGTGCAAATTACAAGGCATTACATAGTACAATATAAACAACACACTGGGGGGGATTTAAACCCTGTTTCTGGAATTGGAGTGGGTGCAAGTAGATTCCAGGCTGTTGAGGAGCCTGGCAGCCTGTGGAAGAAGCTGTTCCAGAGTCCAGTGGAGCTGGCTTGTACACTGCGATATCTTTCCAGATGGTAGGAGGGCAAAGAGTTTATGGGAGGGCTCATGTACTATACTGGAGGCACTGTGTAAGCAGGGTTTGTGAGGGGTGACAGAAATGGAAGGGAGGGAGGCTTTCAGCTGTTTCCACAATTCGTTGCAGGGTCTTGTGGTCTGAAGAGCTGCGATTCCCAAACCAGACAGTGACACAGCTGGTCAAGGGTCTCTCAATGGTGCTTCTGTAGAGAGTGGTAAGAATGGGGAGGGGGGTGGAGGTTTGCCCTCCTCAGTCGCCGCAGGAAATGGAGACCCTGCTGTGCTTGCTTGGCTAGGGAGATGGTATTGAGGGACCGAGTGAGGGCATCTGTAATGTGTACACCAAGAAACTTGGTGCTCCTAACTGTTTTCACTGGGGAGCCGTTGATGTACAGTGGGGAGTGATCAGTGTGGGCCCTCCTGAAGTCAATGATTATCTCTCTTGTTTTATTTACACGAAGAGAGAGGTTGTTGTTAGTGCACCAGTCCACTAGTTGCTCCACCTCCTCTCTGTATGGTGACTCATCGTTGTTGCTAATGAGGCCCACCACTGTTATTGGTCTTATAGTCATGATCAGTTCCATTAATCTAACCCTCCTGCAGCAGGGATCTAGAGTTTACCAGCCTATATGAGCTGATTTTAAGATCACAACATTTCTTTTATCTTCCACAAGATCCCTTAATGTAATATTAGAAAGTGGGATTCTACCATGAACTGGGAGGCAGGAGGTGTAATGTGACTTTTAGTTTCCCCAACACCTATGACAAACAAGAAGATGGGGCATATTCATGTCTCCAAGCCAAATGTCATTTCTTGTTCATTTTTATTTTAAATACAGTGTATGAGTAAAGTATAAGGATAAATGTGTTTGTTCAACATAGGAACATTCCAGTTTAGGCAACAAAAAGCCAGGAGGGCTCAACTCCACTTGGCGTTGCCTATACAATCGGAAAACGTGATACTGACTCATGAGATAATCTTATGGTTTGCAAGGCGAGAGGTGTCAAGACACAATTACATGACCTAATGCTTGACGCACATTTCCAAACAAACATGCCACCCCATCACAAAGTGGAAGCTGGGGTCATCAGAACAGAGGAAAGGTAACGAATGACAGCGGGCATCTGGTGTGGAGATCTGGTATTTAACGACTGATCCAAGGCTCTCATCCAGCCAGTTTTTGACAGAAGCCAACGCAGCTGCTTTAACAACAAGGTGGAGCGGCACGTATTCTACACTCCCCTGTGTAAAGACTTTCTCTCCGTTTTAAGCAGACTTCCACACAGCCCCCACTCGTGCCTTCTGGTTCGTTCATTTTGAAGAAGACAAAAAAACACCTGCAGTTGTGCCCACAAGTAGAGCTTGTTTGCAGCTGAAATAAAACAGAACATGCTGGAGCCTTCCAGGGAATGAGCTGGACATCCTGCACCACAGTGAGAATACCTCTCCCTCTTAGTCCTGTTTGCCTCCAACCTTTAAAGAAAACAGAAGCAGGAGGCCTGCTTCCTGCCTGAGCGGCAACCAACAGGTAGATAAGAGATGTCTGCCCTCCAGCTGGGTGGATCCTCTAACTTACCAGGGACCTGTGCAGGCCGTTCCTTGTCCATGTCCTCCTTATCCACCTGGACTCCGACACTCTGTGCTGTCTTCCCCGCGTCCCTCCCTGCCTCTCCAGTCTCTGCTCTCGACCTGCTCTCCCACCACTGCAGCCTCGACCTCAGGGTGCCGATTTCCCGGTCCCTCCGGGATACCTCCGCCCGGAGATCGGCAAAGCTGCCCTGGACCAGCCGGCTGATCTCGCACACCGCAGCTTTCGTGAGGACCTCCATGACAGAGGCCAGCTGGGTCCGGAAGACGGCAGCAGAATCCACCATTTTGAAGCGAGACGGAGCGTTAGGTTTAATTACAATAGAGCCTTTCTGTACTGGGGTATAGGCTTCCACACAACACTGGCTTCAGTGTTTCTGAGCTTCAAAGGTCTGTGGCACCATGATGATCTTAGTCTGGAATCTGAAAAAGAGAATGAAAGGCAGGGATGGTTGTGTGCAGTTATATTATACTATACTATTGCCTTTATTGTAATACTATACATTTTGTTTAATAAGAGTAGTGGACATCAAGCAGGCAGGAAACTTTAGGCTTCACTTTAGGTGACAACTTTAGGAAACTTTAGGTGTACAGCAGTTAAATCCACTACAGGATTTACCAGACGCAGGTTCTTTTGGGAGAAACAAAGCAGAGCAGAGGATATTTCCAGTTCTTTAACTGCAGCTTGAGTAGCTTGTTATGCAAATCAAAGCTACAACAGTCTGGTGTCACAGACTGGAATGTGTACAACAGCCGGATGTTCATTAAAACCAGAAATGGACCCTCAAAAATGTGACAGAGCAGCGTGAGGCATTGTGAGTCACTGAGCCCCCCTGTGTCTACACACACTACGACATACTCTATGGAAGAGGAGCACCCAGAGCTCGATGGTCTGAGCTCCAGCTGGTGTAGACAGGGCCTCCCTCATCTTCTACGCCCAGCAGCCCACTGTGTGCTCCGTCTCTCCAAAGGCTAGATCCCTTCTGCTCCTGGGAACTCGGAAGAGCCAATCCAGCCCTGGGATTTCGAGGTCTCCCTCGGAGGTCAGGGCGCCAAGGGGGGAAGCACAGCACATCCCGCTGTGTTTGAATGCCCCCATGACCTCTCCCCATTCCTGCCTTTGCCCCCTTTTAAACGCAGAGAGGAATCCCACCTCTTTCCTCTCTGCCTACCCGGCTAACTCCCTGCTCTGGCTCTGCGATTTTCACGCCCCACAGTAATAAAAAGGGGCAATGAAAGTGTCAGTGAGCCTGTGTGAAGTCGTCTCCAGCCAGTCACTGACACAGAACCGGGAGCGCTGGTTACATCTTAATACCGCTCGTTATTAAAATATCAGTCATATTCGCTCCAACACCTCGGGCGATTCCGGGGACTGAAGGCCACGTTATCTACAGTTTCATTAGCGTTATGAATAGCGGTTGTTTTCAGAAACAGCGAAGATGGAACTGACCCAAGCCTTTCATTTTACAAGCCTTACTATCCAATACTCATGGCACTGTACTAAGCATACTGTGCGTTTCTGTTGTTACAGTTAATTGCGAGATGACACAAACGCAGTAATGAATCTGACTATAATGGCAGCTACAGATTTCGTGGCACGGTAATTTTACCTAAAAGATCAATAAACGTTGCACGTATCTAAACCGTTTTTACGAAGGCAAAGGAAAGAATAAGTAGGTGAAACACGTACAATTTACGTTATAACAGCATCAGCTACAAATTCAGCCCACTATTTCTTTAATTAGCGTGCTCATGTCACTGCACCACGCAAATGTGTGTAGTGTTATTATTATTATTATTTTATTGTAATTAATTACTCGTGTGTTATATAAAGTAATATACAGTACAGTATACGGGTTAAAACAGAAGCAGTATTGATGTTATTATGCAGGGACACAGTCACTGAAGCCTAGCCTGACATCACCTGAACATCGCAGATCCTCTCGACGAAACCGCTTACAACGCTGCGCTGTAAAACAAACAGTTATAATTCGGTAACGAAAAAGAAAACTTACCTCGCAGGGACTAGCGACAAAGAAAGCAGCCGTAGCCCTCACCCACGGAACCAAAACAAAAGAAAACAGTGACGGCAGGCCTGTGTACGGAAACTCCCGAGTCCCAAACCGTGCCGCCTCCTTCACGGAGCAACAGCACAGGCGATTGTCTGGACTGAAGGTTTGACAAATCACCCAGCACAACGCCAATTAACCTGTACTTACTACTGCTCCAGCTCCCTGTGGTCACAATAACCAAGAACACGAATGAGAATACACACAGGACAGCAGCAAGTATGAAAGAGCAGGAATTGCTACGACTGCAGCTGATAATCATTTCTTAATTTATGTAAAGCAGTCCACGAGTAGAAGGAGAGGTGAAACACCCACCTTTTACCTTCTTGGGAAAACCATGTTGCTGCACACGGTGTTGGTGGACCAGTAGGTGGGGCTCTTCCCCCTGAGCCAGGAGGTCCATAAACCCAGTAGTCCAGTACGGTGAACTGGGGACGCTGAGCTGTAGGAGGAGCTGTCCTGTGGATGAGGCTTTATACAGAGGAACATGGAGTAAGGAGCTGAGTCAGCGTATGCTGGCTGTAAAGGGACAAGTGACGAGGCTCAACAGCCTAATCATTCTGCCAGGGCAGCATTTTTTAAGGGCACTTCAAAATCTTCATGTTAAAAACAAAGGTTATCTATGGAATCTGCCAATTAGGTCTTTCAAATTATAGGTGATCTTGACATTCTGTGAAATGTGTAATGTTGATATAAGGAAAATACCCATTAACAGGGAACTGCAATGCTGTTTTTTTTTTTTTGTAGAAAGAATCTACATCACTGAGTGCATTTCAAACCACAGTGAAAGTAAAATGTACCCAGTAACATGTAAAACCTCCGATTTACATCATCAAATTGACTAAATTTCCAGGTATGCGCGGCGCCATGTTCTGCGATTCAGAATGAGGCAACAAAACTTCAGTGACAGTGTTGCGGCCATACGACACTGGAAACATGCAGGCTTGTGGATGCATCTCTTTTAATCTAAGAGAAATATCGCTCTCAACTTCGAGATGGGTGGCCGACAAATACGACTTACTTGTTAACTCTGCATCACATCCTTTACATTAGTCATTACCGTGACTAGTGAGCAGGAAGGGACGCACTAGTCGCAGGTCACGCTAACTCTCACTCTTGCCTTGGCGAGAACCAGGTGTTTGTGACAAAATGGGGCTGCTCAGCACTTTCACAAAGTTCACGATTTTGTGCCTAATTAGGACTTTGTAAAATGTTGTGATACCATCAATTAATTTAGTTTGTTACTGAGATTTAATAACTGGTCGGAGAACTTGGGACTGCAGTTCCTCTTTAAGTTATCCAGACTTCACAGGAAGATATTACGATCCTGGAATTGAATATATATATACATAAACATAATTTCTCATCACACACCTACTGTACAGTACAGTACTAAAATTACAAAATTATTAAGTACAAAAATAAAAGCATATTCTTGCAGACATGGTATAATTGTTAGATTTAGATGGCAGGATAAAGATGGTAGATTGTTGACGTACGCTGAATGTTTGGGCAGATTGCCGTTTCCACTCGGGAATACGCTATAGTTATGATGACATGCCTGAGAAAGTAGTGAGTTTGTTCAAAGTAATCTTAAATCCGTCAGTACTGACCTTGCTGAATCTACAGTTACAATTCTTGGATGGTGTGCAAATAAAAGACAAAAATGCAATACAGACAAAGCAAGGTTAAAAAAATAACATTTAAAGTTGTTCTTGGGTTTCATCCTGTTAAACCCACTCTTTTTAGACTGAGACACGAACTAGATGATGTACGTGTGCTCTGTAAGGCTATAAAAGAAACTGACTCCTTTGTTAACTTTATATAATACAAAATTGTTTTAGATAGCGTTTTGAAAGTTTATTTTTAATCATTTAAAATGATTAAATGAATGTTAGATCTAAGAAATCTGATGTTAGAAGATGTAATATAAAGAACATTTATTTCTAATTAATCTGTTAGTAATACCGGGTAGATAATACAGTCACAAAACAAAAAAGACGAACGCTACCTACTGTTCCTTTAATGCTTATAAGTGGAAATACAATGTTACCAAAACTTCATCAAGAACTTCATAAATAACGAGACAAAAAATGTATGTACAAATTATAACTTACTGTTTTCCTCTGGCAGTGCTCTGTTTTTTGTTTTTATTTCGCTCACTTTTTTATACCATTCCTCCTTTGTATTATTCGATGTCTAATAAAACTTGGGGAAAAAATCAATTTCAGAGACAGATGGGATTTTGAAGGGGAGTGGCGTCACTTTTTGTACCGCGTGATGCTTCGGTGTTTAATAGTTCACGATGTCCTGGTCTATTGCTGGAACAGAAATAGATCGCAGTTCACATGACTCGTCAAACTCTGGTTTTAAATAATCCGCTTTCTGTCCCTCAAGAGTCAAACTGGGACTAGGTGTACTACGACTGTCTGTACTAGGAAATGCGTGAGCTGATCTCATGTGAACTACAGGGGTGGGCAAAATGATAATTTGGTTGTATATTATATTGATAAAATTTCGTATGGTTTTAACGTAAGGACTGCTACAAATTTGACCAGTATTTTCCAACTACAGCAACAATTGGCCTCTCGAAGTGTATGTAAATTCCCGAGTAAGTGTGTTATGTGTGTATGGCATTAACCCCAGCTGTATGTTGCGAGTACAGCTCATGCAAATAAATTGGAGAAAGGCTGACTTAGTCTTTAGTTTTCTCGTAACAAATGACTTCGGATCCTACGAGTAACTATTCAGCCCCCCAAAACGCGTCCTCCTTATTTTTTACGTCCGGAGGCAGGAGTATTAAAACAAACGAGTGAAAAACAAACAAATGAACACCGCTGGAAGCTTTTTTTCTTTAAATCAAAACTCCATCAGAAACGACTGTACAAACGAATAAGTCAAATGAATACAGCCCCGCATGCCAGCGTGCAAGATGAGCAAGCGCGACACTCCTCGATCTAATCAGTGCTGTGCCGTGTCTGCCGTGTTTCTTTCTTGCTTTCTCATCTGAAATACATGGAAATTCCAAACAACTTCTCCTCCAACATCGGAAACTAATGTTACGTGGCAAGTCTTCCTTCTGCTGTACAGCAGATACGATTTAAGTACACTAAAATAATTCAACACAAGACACGGAACTACTTCCTACTAGTTTCTAAATTAAAAGAAAATCTGACACATGGGGAAAAAACAACAGGGAATCAAATTAATGTTTGTAGTGAATGTACCTGCATCTCTTGTAATTATCACACAGGTGCGACTTAGGAGGTCAAAGCAATGTTTAAAGGAGACGGGAGTTGTAGAAAGCAACAATTCATCACTGACGTATGATCTCCTGTCATTTCCAGACACATCGGCTGCATTCGGGGTTTAGTGTTTTGCAAAGGGCAGAAGACAAGACCGCAAAGATGTACACAGCTCTTTTTCGGTTTAAAAGTTTTTTTTATTGCACCATGTTGACCTTCTTTCAAGAAGTGTTAAAAGGGACACTAAGAAAAGACTAGTTTGTAATGAGCACGAACCGTCTACCTTGTATAAGATATTAAAATGAGTCCTTTTGTTTCCACTTCAAATTTGTTCATCTACAAATTCATTTCAAAAGTAACAAATTACTTGCAACATACTTAATGTTGACCCTTTTATTTGTTTGCCCGTGTTGCTTTTCAAACTGCTGGGTAGCTGCCCAGCCGTGTTGTTGAAGCCAATACCTTGGTTTCTTTCAAGAAACAGCTGGATGAGATCCTCCATTCAGGACAGGAGGCACTTCTTTACACAAAGGGCTGTGGGAGCTTGGGAAAGCCACTGAGCCATGTTGACAAAGCCGACTGCCTGGGTTCTTTCAAGAAACAGCTGGAGGATATCCTCGGATAAAGCTAGCGAACGAGCTCGATGGAGTTCTTGTGTTGTCTTAGCCTAACACCTGTGTTGGCTGTAACGTGGAGCTGGGCTAATTAACGCCTGATCACTCCAAAGTTTAATCAGTTGATCCATGACGCATATAAAAAAAAATACAGCTGTGTCTCCCTTTTCTCTCTGATCTCCTCTCTGTAGAAGAGACATTTATGACAGCTGGGTTTTTTTTCTTCCAGGGGGCTGACGAAAGAAATGAAAAGGAACCAGAAGTTTCATTACAGAAAGCAAAACACGAGACCGATACCAACAGAGAATCGTTCGAAAAGAGGAAAACATAAAGCAGTCTATTTGAAAGTAGGCTCTACTTTCAGAACAGTTTGCCCTCAGTCTCTTGCCTTTCATTTTCTGCCTGGCTCTTGACAGCACAAAGAGAACATTAAGAGAAATTATTCGGACTAAAAGGCTGTGGAGTCAATAACCACACCAAACCAAAGTCACGCGAAGAGGTGAAAGGGAACTATAAAAAAGGAGGGCCGATCAGACAGAGGGCGGCTCTCCAGTCTCTGCACTATGGTAGCACTGGTGTTTCTTAAGGTGGCCCGACTGACTGAAGGTCTTCCCGCACTGCGTGCAGCGGTGAGGCCGCTCGCCCGTGTGGATGCGCTGGTGTATCTTCAGGTACTCGACCCGGCTGAAACGCTTCCCGCAGTAGGGGCAGCAGTACGGCCTCTCTCCCGTGTGGATGCGCTGGTGCCTCTCCAGGTTCCCCTGCCGGCTGAAGTTCTTCCCGCACTGGTGGCAGCGGTAGGGCCTCTCCCCGGTGTGGATCAGCTGATGCCGCTCCAGGGTGCCCAGGTGGCTGAAGCTCTTCCCGCACAGGGTGCAGCTGTACGGCCGCTCGCCCGTGTGGATGCGCTGGTGCGCCTTGAGGTTGCTGGAGAGGCTGAAGCCCATGCCGCAGTGGGTGCAGCAGTATGGCGTCTCCCCCGTGTGCAGTCGCTGGTGGGCCTTCAGGTACCCGGGCTGGCTGAAGGCCTTCCCGCACTGGGAGCAGCTGTGCACGCCCTGCCCGGCCTGCGGGCACTGGTGTGTCTGGAGAGGCCAGTCAGTGCTGAAACTGGCCCCACACTGTTCACAGTGGCTGGAGCTCTGGGCGTCCCCGCTGGACTCTGCTTTGCTCTCGCCGGCAGGAGGCGGAGGGGTGACGGTGCCGGGGGGTCCCTGTTGCTTCTGCCTGTGCAGCTGTGAGGCAGGGTTCCTGCTCTTGGGTCCTTGGGGTCGCCCACCACTTTCCAAGCCCTCTCCGAGCTCCCCCTGCTGGGTGTGCTCTTGCTCCGCCCTGCTCTCTTCCTTGTAAGCAGCCTGCAGCTTCATCTCCTCCTTCACCCGGGCAGGATTTAAGTCATCTGCCTCTGGACTCATGTATGACGACTCTAAGCCGTGCAGGTGAAAGTCGTCAGGGGCATTCTGCTCGCTGGACTTCAGCTCGGTGTCCTGCTCTGGCATTGCAATGCCCTCCAGTCCATTCAGGTCTCTTTTACTATACGATTGTGTAACAGCCCCCAGATCCATAAGACTTTCTACCGCATAATCAAGGCCCATACTAAGCCCTTCTGTAATATGGTCCGATCCCAGCGGGCTGAACCGCTGTGTAACCTGCTGAAGACCGGGTTCTGCCAGGTGGACAGCCTCCAGCCCGCTCATCTTCTCTCCACTCTGCCTGCTTCTGTGGTCGTCTGTAGATGCGGGCTCTACGCCTAGAGTCAGGTCGGGGCTCCAGCATCTCTCGCCGAGCTGTTCGTCCACCCCACTCCTCTCCTCCGCGTCCGGGAGGGCGCAGGCCTCGATGGTTCCTAGTCGAGAGAAAAGTCAGACGATTAGTGGCATCACAGAGAACAGGTCTCCAGCACGGCATCACCACAGAGACGGTAGAGGCAGCCACTGATGACATGTTGAGGCAAACGTCTTAATCTGGCTCGGCTGTTTTCGAGGAACCCATGTACAAAACTGCCAACACTGACTTTTTCCCCTCCTATCAATTTCGTATTCTTGTTTTTATGGGTGCAGATCGAGTGGCTGCTGAAGGCGAATGGGTGACGGTATCCCTCTCCAGTAGACCAGGAAAAGAATCGGAGTCCAGGCTACAGAGGTGAAACAATCATCAGGACTTTATTTCAGATCAAGTTGAGGAACAATAGCGTAAGAGGAAGAAAACGTATTTTTCTTTCAGCCTCCCTCACCCTGCAACTGGATGACTTTCCATTCTCGCCTCGATAAAAACTTAGCTGGAGTTATTTTCTTTCATAATTTCTAACTGCCGGCAGTCTACGCATGATGTCAGAATTACAAGAACATATTGTTGACAAAAGAAGCATTTTAAACAACTCTTTACAGATGCAAGGTCATCAGTGCTCCCAGTCAACTACTGGCTTACATGGGAAGTGCAGGCGTAAGACTACAGATGTTATGATTACAATGATTTTGAGGTTATAGTGGTGCTATACAAAAGACATACAAAAACAATCCTTCAGTGCTTTGTGTAGTCACAGATGGTGAAGTTTCTCGTGCTGGAGAGGCACAACAACAGACAAAAGAAAAGTGAGAGTGACATTGGGAGGACACTGCATTTACTGTAATGTTTACAACCCTGCAGAAAAAATGACTGATGGCAAATCACATAACTATTGTGTTAACTCAAACAAAAATCAGACTACCTTACCATACAGGTGTAACTAGGGGTGAAAAAAACCTGTTTCCAGCATACCAGCAGATTTTATAACCATTACGATAAGGGAATTATTAACGGAGAGAGGCTGTGCTGCTAGCAATCCTACCGTCCACACCGATCATTAATCCTCCACGCAGGTCCCTATCGCCTGGGTTCGCTTCTGGTCCGTCCTCCAGGTCAAGGATGGATTCAGAGGTCTCCTCGTCCAGGTCTGTGGGCTGGATGAGAGAGAGTAAAGGTGGGCATTCAAAATGAATCAACTGCTTAACATTCTTGCCAATGCCATCACATACCATCTGAAGTGAGGTGCAGGCCGATCTGCATATATTTGCTAATTCTGTATGCCATCATGCCACCTGGAGTGCAGACGGGTGGTCTATTTTGTACAGAGGGGGGGGCCTTGCAGACATAGGCTGCTCTTCACCTTGCCCCAGCGGGCAGACCGATGGGACACGGAGGGGGTTTTCAGTGGGATCCAGGCAGGTGTCCGGTCTCTTACCTCCTCTTTGATGATGATGGATTCCAGCTCTGCGCCTTCGCCAGGGTACAGCCCGGCAGGTTCGCCGGCCGCGCCCACGGAGGCCGGCTCCACGTCTCTCCACAGGCAGCTGTCCAGCTCCGCCTCGGAGCTGCTCTCTGCGCGCACAGAGCCTTTGCCCTCGGCTCCTGCAGGGAAAACGATGGACGCGACACAAGAACTCCCATAACACAGTTACAGTAGCTGGGTGTGGGTCACACTGAGATTAGGGTTTTAAAGCCTCATCAAAAACATCTTCTGCATGTAGGGAGTTTGGTCTGAGCATACATCTAAGACTAAGACTCTAGAATCTGCCTTCAGCTCCTCTCCTCTCCCCAAGAAAACAATATAAAATGTGCAATACAAAACCTGCTTACACAGATGTTGTGCACCCCCGGCTGGTTCAGTCTTTCAACACCGCAAGCATGTGACAGTGCCTCCTGTAGACCCTCCTGTCTGTGGGTGCTGTCCTGAACAGGCAAGGACACCCACTGTCGCTAAGACGTCTAGGTGCTTTCCTTACCTGGATTTCCAGATTCACAGAGATCGTTCCGCAAGGATAATCTCTGAGGTGCATGAGTGGGGAGCAATGCTTAGAGTTCTGGTCTGGAAGGTTGCAGCTTCAGAACCCAGGTGGGTCTCAACATGTCCACCTGAGCAAGGTACTTCACTCAGATTTATTTCTAGTAAAATACACAGCTGTATTTTGCTGTAAATGGGAGCAAAAATAAGATGCCTTTGATAGAGCTGTCAGGTGTATGCTGATAGCAGAGAATTACACTTGAAACACATGGGACTCTATGGTGGAACTTCATTAATAATAATAAT